TAGTGTTTTCAGTTCCTCAGTGACACCCGCTTCTTCTTTCTTCTTTCTTTTCTTGGTATTTTGCATATGGAACCACGCAAAAACGGTTGGACCAGTCCGGCCCTCTTACACATGACCACTTAGTTGTTCTGCTACCAACGGTAGCGTTAGATGGTCAGATAGAACGCGTCGTAGTGCGAGACATTCGCGCGCTGGATTCGCTACAATCCGATTACAGCATACTATAGCGCCTTCCAAACACCACGTGTCGGTGTCACATATGGCATCGTTTGGCAAAATGTCTGCTGACGTTTTTATAGGGTACCAGTGTAAATAATCAAAGAATGACGCCGCTTTCACGAGCTAGAACCCGTTTAAAATATCCCGCGTTTGTATTGTGCAATTGGACTCGAAAGCTGAAATTATTTTATGAAATTTATTTGAGCCTATTTAGTTGAGCACCGATTGTATATGCCGAACTTCATTAGTGCAAAGTTCTACCTCTAAGTCGAGCTACTGTCCTGCTACTACTGACAGACAACCTCGTCTTATTCTGCAAAAGCGGTCATCACCCTTAGCAGCGTTGGCTATATTTTTGTCACCCAAATGATTGGTACTTTTTGCACATCAGTAATTAAGATTTATACCTAACTTAAAGCATAATACGTAGGATCCAGTAAAGCTTGCGCCTACCTAGAACTAATTGCAGTCGGAACATCGTAATCTTGACAGTACCATGTCAGGCCCTTAGCGAAAATGAAGGCCAGCGCACAATGCTGATGACATGTTTTGCTCATCTCAGGTCACACGCAAAGTTAAGTAGTTTATTAATACACACAGAGACTCAATAAGTACGTATCACGTTCGCACGTACGTGCATTATGTACATTCGTACACCACATCACATTTTCACTTATAGGTATTAGCTTGCAGTAGTTAACGAAATGCTGGCATCAGAAGTCGTATTCGCCATAGCATTCAAAAGTTATATTGAGAGGCTAGGTCATGAAGTGCCTATGCAAAGACCGAAGCTATGCAGTTTAATAGGTATGAGCTTCTGGATGAGCCGCGTTTCCTACACCTGAGTATAAACCTCTTTTAACAGTTTAATGCCTAAAAGCAATAGCAGTGTTCCTGCAGTAACTAGAAGGCCTACTTTTAGAAGTTACTGATTATACAAGAGTGCTTGTAACAAGTTTTTCAGAAATACTAAACGCCTAAATTTAGTGAATCAAATCGCGCTTGCTTATGTTTACTGCATGAGCGCCTTGCTTCTGCAGAACACTGTTCTGTATACTGCGTTTAATTTAAAAGATCACTACAAGGTAGTCTACCAAAAAAGTTATCCAGAAAGATCCTCAAAATACCGCTCTTGGCCTGAAGCCTACTAGCCTAGCAGCGTAGAATACGCAAGATTTCTAGCATTAAGAAACATACATTCATACAAACAACTATTAACTTATTCAAATGATCTGTTGATGTTTCAACAGGTCAAACGCTAAGCTGTTTTTTCTGACTCTCTCTCTCTCTCTCTCTCTGCAGACGCTTCTGAAACGACACTTAACGCAGCCTTGTTATCCTCTCTTGCCTATCCAAGGGTTATTATGCAAGGAAGCGCCTCAAAATTTCGGTCTCGATATTCTGGAATAGGCTATCCTTAATTTTTAGAAAGAGACGACCTTTAACAAGCTTTAAAGAAGACTCTAATATGCAGCGTCATCACAATCTCCTTAACAGTTTCCATTAATTAATCCAAATTAAAAAAAAGTTATTCATTTTATAAATATGAGACAAGTCTGCCTTGTTCATGTCTATAAACGATAGTATTACATAGACAAATCTTAAATCATAAATACTAACTGCAAAACAATGGTCCCGCTTAACACAAGCCCTTATTTTTGGAAGCCTATCTGTAATTTTTCAGCAATAGCAACTCACCAAGATAAGTAAAAAGAAGGATACTAGTTATTATCTGTTATATTCTGATTGATCCTAGTTTTTTGACATTTAACGAAGATTAACAATCTTGCATGACTAGAGTTAAAGTAAAGACTTTAACTTCAGCGTAGCATAGTGCGTTTAAAGGAGGCAGCTAAGATTACCTGTAGCTTATCTCCACCATATGACTGTATATTGGTTAAAAAATCAGTGTTAACTTTCAAGTTAAATCAGCTTGTGGGATGGTAAGGGCTGATTTTGATTATAGAAAAAAAGCAGGTTGAACTAAATTCCCCTTGACCAAGCTTAATTGAAGCGAAATATACTATAACATGTGAAGTAATGCAAATTTTACGATGTACGATATGTTAATTTAAATCACTAAGCCGGCATGACAATGATCTGGGTTCTTGCTTTCCGCCAACAGCGCGCCAGATTTCTAAAACTACGATCAGCTATTTTAATACATCTAATTATAATTTTAACGGAGACAAAGAAGAGCGACCTTATTCGTAAGTTGTGTACTTAACGAATAGATTAAATAGCTGCCAAAGCTGGTTTGGGTGTACCTGTTAGCCTTGCTATCGCTATATCATAGCATATACACGTTATGATATATATTGCCTATAGCCATATAAAGCTCTATTTTTTGTTGATGGGATATTATTATTGACAAATAAATGCCGCTACCAATATCTCTCTGCCTTCGTGAATTTAAATAGGAAAAAAAAAATCTGCTGATAAGATTTACCTTAGAAAATGTCAAAGCTAGTTGCTCAGCTTCGTTAGGTCCAAAGAACTGCTGCACAAATAAAAATCTGATCATTTTTTTTATCTGTGTAGCTCAAAATTGTAGATTACAATAAGAAGTACATGCTGAATATATTTCCAAAAGCTAAAAACGTAACTAAAACTCAGCAGTCGTCAATTTTGTTTAATTAGTCAAGTTATTTAGAGCGAACAGCTAGATAAAATGGCGACCCATCATTTTAAGACAAAGCTATTTTTTCTGTATAATCCTAATAAGCTCTCGTACCCTGGGCATAATTTTCATACAGTGGTCTCGGCGGTCGCCACACGTTTAGTGTGAACGATCTCAAGCACATACATTATAACCAAGATTAGCCTTCAAAGCTTGATACACAAAGATCTGTTCTAATATAGATTCCTTTATTAGTGAAATAATGATTCAATTTTCAGTGAGCCTGGCGCTTGCCTTTACCGCCTCGGCCCCCACTTGTGTACGTGCAAAAAAACAACATCAAATTACAAGTTGATGAGGTGAGTTTTTTATTACTATGTACACAGTTGCCGCCGATTGTGTGCTAGATTCTACTTGATCGGCTGCAATGATTCACGAAATTTCCCAAAAATCTTGCTTGCAACAAGTGCTCCACGGAATAGCTCTTCGGGTTTCTGTCCCCTATCTAATCAGCTTCACGGGTGTGTTTATAGATTGAAAAGACTCCGTCGTTTTCTCTTTCTTTGTTTTAACAGTCATTGCGAAAAACTAAACAGAATAACACCAATAGGTTCCATACTATTTAACCATCATAGTAAATAACGCAGTTAACGACGGTGTCTTACTGTTATTAACTCGATCAACGTTGTTGATGATTATCGCGCAACAACTAAAACTCATCTCTTTTCCCATACACGAATAAATTCGTCTCTGGTCCACTACTAATTGTTGTACAGTTTCATCGAGATGCACGCACTGATTCCGCATACGCTTCATGTATGTAGGTGGACGTTGAGATAATATATACTGTTCGTCTGATAATCAGGCAAATCAAGTGGAGAATGTTTGTCATCACAGGAAGGATATTATTATCTCTCTCCAGCTGGATCGACTGTCCACTATCCAACACCAGACTTTTTTTGAACAAGCACAGCTACGCGTAGGCCTCGAGAAACGGCGGCAGAAAACTCGACTTTCAGCCAACCTAATTTGCTTGTTCGTGCTTTTCTATTCACCTAATACCTGCAATAGGTCTATTTTGGCGTTCTGGCAATTTCGTCCTCTATTTTAAATAAACGAATACTTAAAGAGAGTATATGATAAGCTTCAAATAAAACGTCTTCAAAATAACTGTAGAGAAAACATAAACGTATGTAGATACATTAATACAAGGTCCAGTTATTAGATATGATGATCATAAGGTTATTCTAACCTAACATTTTTTAATACAACATTGAACCTAGAGATCTTTCATCGAATTCTTACGGATGAAAGAGGCCCCAGAAATGGCGAACCGGCTTCTATAATGTTCATTTCCAAAAAGATAATTGAAGGTGGTACGCTACTCATGCCTATTTAATTAAAAAGTTCTTTAGCGAGTATGAATAATTCAAGAAGATCTTTCGTTTCATGGTCATGAACTTAAGCGCCGGAAATAATGAAATACGGAAAAAGGAAGTGTATACTGACCCGGCAATCGAGACATCGCCAGTTATCTTACGCAGTGAAAGAACTATTTCGTTGTAAGGTTATAAGGTTGATTGTAAGATAATAATTTTGCTGAGTTACGCATCATCAGCGTTTTAAAGGTCTACCTTGCCGCATTTGGAATAAAGCCATTCCTGACGAATTGTTGGATGGACCTGATGACTTCCGCGCACGCGAGCCAGAAGCCACCGCACCAAAGCCCTTGAGCAGTACAATTACTGTCAGGTAGCCGTGAGTTATTTTACCAACATCTCCCGTTAACTAGAAGTATCAAAACTGATTGTTACACACACACTCAAAAACGCGAACACAAACCTAGCTCAGGTTCCATTATCGTCTGTTACATTCTCAGGCCTCCTGACCACACACAAATGCATAATGATGTATAAAAAAAAGATCAAAATCAATGGAAAATAGCCTAGCGTCAACATTTAGCAAGGTCATTAAATAGCTTCATCAAATAATATTATATCAGTAAGTCATGTGTATTGACATATTGTCTCCGTGCTGTGAAGGGAAGACAAACCAATAAAATGCTTAAAGTTTCAGACGATTAAATTATAATGATATCTTGCAGTGAAGGACCCTTTGCCGCACTTTCTCCTAGACTAGTAGATTCCCCCCCACCCCCCGCCCCACCCTCTTGTATAGCTCTTCTTTATGGCATTTATTGCATCCCATCTGAAAAGCACCCCGTCCGATTTAGCATATTCGAGGTGATTTCCCGTTCATTTACAAACGCCACAGGGCTCACCCTGTACATAAACCCAGAGATCTTTCATTTTGGTGATCCAATAAAACGTCTCTGCTGCCATGACACAATCAGTCATAATCGCTATCGGTCTATCTCATTGTGATTGCCGGTTCGGCTACTTTTTTGATCAGTGGGAGCACGAAAACTAAGTCGCTCCGTTACAGTTTCCGGCAGAATCAAGTGCCCTATTTTTATAGCGTAGGGTGTTGACGATCATGCGACTGCTGACTGTATGCAGTTCAAAAAGTTGTATTCAGGTGGTATTGATTTTTTGAATGGCCGGCAATTGTAGCTTTAGAGGCTCCTGCAGCCGCTTGGCCCCGCCGTAACTAGCTGGCCTGTGCTGTGAGTTCCTGCTGCTGTATCTCGAGTGCCCGTATCTCGTTTTCTATGTCCGCTTTCCGCTGGACCTTATCTGTCTGCTCCTTATTCGGTTGGCACTCCCCGTTGTCGATGCGTTCCTGAAGGGAGTCGATCTCCCGAATTTTCTTCCGCAATGCGCGCAGTCGTTTAGTAAGATCGGATGGCTGAAAACACAATCGGAATTGCGCACACGTACACAAACAGAAGATACTATAGTTAGGAAGTTACTATTTCTTTTAAAGGTGATAGAGCCCCGTAAAACAAACCTTTTTTTCAAATATAATAATCGCTATATATATATATATATATATATGATTTTGGATAAATGTCGAAATTACTGTAAAAGTGACATATCAGTCACCACCTAGAGGAATAAATCGTTATGCAGAAGCCGTTAGTTTTATCAGAAAAGTGAGACCATGTACGTGTAGTAGCAAACTTTGGCCTTCACTCACTTTAAGTATTTATTCAAAATTAGCAGAAACTGTAAGTTATGAAATCTAGATTTTTAAAAATATGCTTTCCGGAAAAAAACAGAAACGATAAATCTGCCAGATGATTTACAAATAACTACGTCAAACTAAATTTTTCATCTGATGCTTGTTACTACCCAAATCCAGAAGGAGTCGGCAAAAGGATGAAACCAGCCTTAGCGTTTTGTAACACACCGAGTTCGGGGAACGTTGCTGGTACTTTTCCAGTGTAGTAACTAATGGCATGGAATAGTAAGAATGTGTTCTTCGAGGAATCAAACGTTCGAAAATTAGTCTTGCGTTGACAGAATAAATTTTCGCTTTGTTCTTATACAGTAACAGGCTGTATTTCCTGCAAAAGTTGCGATTTTCAATGTCACGGGTGTTTTTTTCTGTTATCGAGATAGAAAATGCTTCAAGATCATCCCTTAGAAAATGACAAATTCCTGAATCAGGGCAACCTAAATCGAGAAAACTGAATATTTATTTCAACATTTCGTCAGTCGCATTAGCATCCCGGTAAATGCAAATTGAAAGAAATCTTGGTTTTACGAAGATGCTAGTAGGTATCCGTTCATAATAGAAAGCTTTTTTGATACCTTATGTTAAAGGTAAAGCGTGATGGATCTCATTTAACTGCCTACCCTAACTATGATTAGCACATGTAGCACACACATGTGATCTTACATCCTCAATCCAAGTTTGAGTATGTATATAGGTAAAATAATGTACGTTTCCATATTTTTCCTTAACATTCGAATCGAACTGTTTGCAGTAGACGATTTTAAATTGCTCAAGCTGTAAAGCCGATCTACAACTGCAGCCGAAGTAAAATCACTCTGCACGGTTATGCTTCACACGAAGTTTTCAAGCAACGGTATTTAAATATTCACACACACAGACCCTAAATGCTTTAGCATGTATTATAAAAATTCATGCTAATTCACTATGAATCATGGAATCAGATCGAATATGGGACACCCATTATCATAGGAAATCATTATCGTGACAAAATGGGTTGTCACGATTAGATAATAAAGAGTCCAGTTGTTAGCAAGGCTCATACTGTGACATGAACCATACGCATCTCAAAGCATGTAAAATACTGTGTCATATGCTGACATACAGATGTATGATCCATTATTACAAAATATTCATATTACTCATTTCCTTATAATTAGCAAAAATGTTCCCTATAGCAGTGAAGCCACATATCTAATATAAAAAAAAATGGGTAAAATATACGTTAGTGCTCGCGACGCATCGCTTTAATGCTACGAGTAAGTAATATAGTAACAATATTGTCATGTCAAGGATCAATAAATGTCTAAATATCCAATGCGATTGCTAACGATAACAGCTTTCGAAAGTACTCTCCTTCACGGCGGTCTCTATTTGTTTTGTCAATGAGATTAGCCAGGCCTCTAATAAAACGAGTTTTTCACTAGCGGGAGTTACTGTCTTTATCGAAATTAACAAAATGGTATCATTCCGCAAAAGGACAGCCCTTTTCAGCGTATCGGCATACACTACCAGCCATCTAAGAAATGCAACTACACCATATTGTCGCCGCAATGATCACACGGCGCTTGAATACGGCACTTCAGCACGGTACATTACGCCAAATATCTCTTGTAAGATATACCGGGGCCGTCAAGTTCTAATCCGACGATGTCTTAGATGCAAGCCTGTTGGCACTCTTGGCCTTCTCCTTTTCCAATAACATTTATATGCTTGCTATATAATTTTTGTTAAACTGTCGAGTTAAAGCTGCCATTAGGAAATTTTAGAAACCTCCCTTTGACTCAACAGAAGTGCGCGGAAGAACACATACGTAAAGAAGTACTAATCTCACCAAAGCGTAAAACAGAGGATTTGTGGTCTGGAAATTGACAGGTAAGCGTATTGGGGATTGCTGAATGGTTAGCAAAGATAGAGTACGATATTTTAAAAGCAGGTATCAAATATTCTCAGTAAAACTAGCTATCACTGCTTGTTGACTAGGACAAAATGTTGGGTCTATATAGAGAACAAAAAAAAAAACTACTGAAGTCGCTGTTCTGGACAAAAAGAAGATGCTCAGCCAGGGCCAGGTAATACTATTGCAAACAATCTAAAAATGTGTTCCATGCAGAGTTGCTCATCTTTCGGTTTTTCGCGTGTATGTAATATTAGGTACGATTCGTTAGATGGTTGTAAGAGCTCGTTTCACTGAGAACGGTTAATGGCAGAATATCCATAAGGCATGCCCGTCGCCCTTAGCTAACGGTTCATCGAATCCCTTCGTTTTGCCGAAACTTGGCAGTCAATTTCTTCAATTTGTTTCGTAGTGTAAAATCGCGAATTAGCTAACCACATAAATGAAAATACTCGCTTTACATTTGGCACAATAATTCACAATACTAACACAATCACAATATTATTGAAGCTTTCGTTAGTTCCTTTAACCTTTTCGAATGCGACTCAAGCTGTGTACCATACCAGCTGAGCAAAAGTTAGAAGATAAACGCAACAACCGATTTGCCTAAACTTTTCTAATATCTTTGCATCAATGAGGAGGAGGGCGCCGTGTTAGGCCCACTGCATTATGCTACGTGTTAGAATGTTAAAATCTCCAATTTGGTCGGTTAACAAATACTTTTAGAGCTACCCAAAAAAACTAAGCAATCAGCGGGTGTTAGTTTGGAGTTTCATTCCTTTCGTTTTTGGAACAACAGCGGCTGCTACAAAGCTCCCCGCACTTCAGGCGACCAAGTACAGGTTCGTTTGCAGACGACATTGAGGGCTTCTCAAATCCCCTTTTTCACAACTGACTGGCTAGTACACTTAGACTCGACCAATGTCAATAACACCTTTTTCTCCTTTCTTTTCCGCGGTTTCATGTAGTTCCACATCTCGATTTAACCCCTAGCCTAAGCACGTATTTTTGGGCTGTTTCTTCCTTTTTTCCTCGTCCATCATGGCAGTAGTAAAGCGAATTGTGGAAATACGGCGATTCAGTGTACTACTGGCCTCGAAAGCCCTCAAACACAGATCTGTTTTCAAACAGTTGTGTTAACTTTCTAAAGGTTTTAATTTCCTTCGCAGTTACGATTACATTCCTCCCTACGATGTGTTATCTTGTCTGTGTGCCAAAGAAGCAGATCTGTAACGATTCACCCATGAAATTCTAATGTATTCCTCTATTTTTTTTTTTAACTTTTTCCCACTTTCATATAGTAAAGTGCTTTGAATACCACCTTTTGTCCGTCTGTTCAGCTCCTGAACTATATTACCCTGAAAGCACTGTATTTTTCTGACCACACATTTAAAACGAATTCCGCACTTCGATTTATGAAATTATTTACGAGTATTGCCCATAAATGATATGTATATGCCACGCCTTTGTTTACTAGTTAATTGTAAAGAAAATATTTGGGTCAAAACATCTGCCGTTCATGGGTCAGTACAAGAAGTATATTGTTTACCTGTTAGCATCTGTACATTAGTTAGTTTTTCATCTAGTTTATCCTAAAAGGTCTGGTCTAGGTTTCACGCGCCCTTTTGACGAAGCTGCACGGCATTGGTCTTGTGTCTCAATCAGTAAATGTTGTAGTACGCCTAGGCAGAATTTTTGTTAATGTACAATTTAATATTCAACCTAATTTATTTTTAGTCGGATCTTACCACAAGTTTGTGCGAATTTCTGTCTTTGTTATGAACTGGTGATTCACAATCTTAGGAGATGTAGACAAAAATCTAATACTAAACATGTTCATTAAAAGTTGATGACCCTATGGATAGTCAGACCCACAATACTCCATGAGCAAAACCAGTTCCTATCAAGATCTTCACTACAAAGCCTCCATGTTTGTAACAACAATGAAGTAGTGATCACGGTGCGCTTTTTCGCACATGCCTTTACCGAACAATACTACCTGCAGGCGTCAATTATATTGTCACCATTTCCATCAACCATAGTCACCTTCTCAGACTTGTTTTCACAATCTGTCAATCAAACAATTTCCGGTTAATCTCATACGTGGACATGTCAGCTTCAGCGCAATAGTCTGCCCGTTTGTAAAATAAATAATCCTCAATGACAATAATGTGTGATCTATTTGTAACTTAATTATTAAGAGTTTGCGCCACTTAATACGTCTAATCAACACAGTGCCTTTGTATAGAAACAGTAACTTGTTGTTGAGTCAGCTAAACCGAGCGGTCTCATGTATATAGACCGTGTAAAAAGTATTCAGACGGTTTTTTTTTCTCTCCCATATGTTTGTGAACAAGCAAGGACTAGCAGATATTGAACGACTAACATGGCAGCCTGCACGGTTTGGGGCTGCGTTGAATTTTCGAATAAATTTATATCCACATAGTATATAAGAGTGCGGCGACAGCCCTCTAGTATCGTATAGAATACGGACAACTTTTTTTGTTGACTAATTTTAACATAGGCGATTGATCAGAACATACGGAAAAACGGACCTAGCCCCAAAAAAGTAAGGCTAGGGAAGCCACGAATCGCAAGAACAACTTACAGCAATGTGGTAGGGAGCAATGCAGATATCGATCCAACGACCTCAACATGACGTCGTCCTCAACAATTTGGTCTATCGACAAATACTTATAATAATAAAATAAAAAAGAGCTAAGGCTGCATCTTTACCCATAAAGAATACAGATGACTTAATAATTAGATTTCCAGGGCCACCGCAAGCGTCGTTTATTCGCTGATCACATATTGAAGCGCAAGACACATGCTAGCGACTTCTTTCACCAAAACTCATCTCTAGCTCAATAGCTAGGTGAGTAGACAAAATTGTCGCATCTGACGCTCAGGAAATCCGATCTCACGCAATTTGAATGAGCAATACACTGATTTAATCACGTCTTATGGTACTATACCTTCTCGGTGCCGTTGTCGTCGAGCGTCACAACTGAAGTCTCATCCCCTCGTATGCCAAGGGTCAGAATTCCTTCCTCTAGCGCCTCGATACTTCGACTTTCATGCACTCCATCAACATTATTCTCCTTAGAACAACTGTTGTTGTTATCTTGCTGACTTGATTTCTTTTTATTTTTCTTTTTTTTGCTATTACCATTTTGTGCTTTAGCTAATTCCGGATTGGCAAGTTCCCATTGCTTCCGTTTTTGCTTCTCGATTTCGGCCTGGGTCAATCCTGGGGGAAACTCAGGTTTCATAGCTCGTGCGAGTTGCCGCCCTCTCGACTCATACCTACAAAAAATAAAAGCTCCCATGAACGACCTCACTTGGATATACGGTTCCAAAGATTAGAATCTAAGTGAGCACTTAATTATAAACAATTTGACGGATACGAGCGGTTGGTAGGCTATGAAAAATTTTCACTATTCTGATATCAGTAAGCCCAGATCTTTTTAGGCTCAGAAAGTGTGCTGATTAATGTATAAAATATTTTTGAACAATTACAAACAACACATGATGTATCTTATGAAGCGTTATATATATCACCCTTGTAAATCTGATTTAGCCTTTCACAGGTCTTTTCAATCCTGTAAAAGACTTAAGAAGGTAAACATCTTGTAGTTTCTTGATATTTCGAACGCATGGACTCCGATGGAAGTCGCGATGCGCTATTTCATACATAACTCCTCTTTGACCACCCCACATAGTGCTCCCATGGCGAGATTCTACGCATGCGACCTGCGGTTTTAGGTGTTCGAACAGACTCATGGAGTCGCCTATAGTTTATCCTCTAATTACACCTTTTTCAGTTTCCTGGACGCTCCTGGAAGTTCTGTTCAGCTTATCCACGTTCTCTGAAGAATTTGCTTTGAGGGCTTCGCACGATGATGACCTGCCGTCCGTTGTAAACTTTGCTTTTTGTCCACACCAACCGGTGAAATAATAGAAAGTTAGACGGCATACCTCTCAAAAACGATCTACGAAATTACCTGATCGACAAGATTACGACGTCTCAAAAAAATTACGCGCCCGGAAATTACAATCGACGTGATTGAGTAAGAACACAATTAAAAGGTACAGATTAGATCAACCGTGAACTTAATGACGCTTTTTCTAAGCTCCTTACAATCAGTCCAGATTTCAAGTAGTGCGGTAGAGGCATGTGAAGCGGTAAAGTATATTTGTTTGTGAAGTCATTTAATTAAACCTTTTTTATGTGGTTTTTTTATTTAGGTGGACTCTATTGCCTGCTTCCTTAGGTCACAGCAAATCCCAGAATAGCTTTCTTAAGTTTAATATGTCCAATTAGGTTAACTATTGTTTGACTACTCAACGGTGCTTTTCTGATGCCTTGTGTAAGTTATATGATGCTTAAGTAATGGTTACGGTAAATAATATTACGGAAATACCGAGGAATCAATAAGATATTGCAATTAATAGTTTTGGATCTTATTACCCTTTTTCCATAAAGCACTCAAGCTCCACCGAAAACGCAAACCGGAGCACAATTAATATACAATATACGACACATAGGTGCAAAACATAATAGGAAAAAGCTCATTCATACGCACGGGTTCAGTCTTTCAGAAACATAAGAAGTCCAAATATTGCAAAAAACACATTTGTGCAAACTTAATACGGTATAAAAAAACAACACCTATTTTCTACATGCCAAGAAAACTCTAATGAATCTAATATATGT